GGTGTATCTTCCAGGCTGCCTGCTTAATAATACACTTTTGCGTTCTGGGCAAGAGTGCGCCAGACTACCTCAAGGTGGTCCAGGCGTTTTCCGGAAGGGCGTGACAGCACTGAAATGTGTACTCTTTTTCAGTTTTGTCATCTCAATTTTCGTTGTATGTCATTCATTTTGGTATCAAAATGTTTGCAATGAAATTCCCTACAGGAGTATATGCATATAAGGTCCAAAAGCCCGGCGCACCTCACCCACAGCAAAGCCAAAAATTGGCCAAGCGTTACCCGTGAGCGAGCACCCATCGGCACATCTGCAACACCCACTCATAAATGTATTTACTGTTTTCAAGTTTCTTACCTCAATTTTCACTTCAGTTTGCAATAGAATGGAAAGATGTTGGCGCACATTTTAAACCCAGTCCCATAAAGATCGGATAAAATCTTGAGTTTTAATAAATATTTAAATTTTTAACGTTAGCTACATCTCTAAGAAACATCTGCAGAGTTATTTGTGGACGTCATCTCCGTCCCTAAGGAACGACAGTGTTAAGGTGTACAGCCCGAGCACAGTCCGAATTCCACCAAGGGGGACGCACTTCCACATACAATGAGAGGAATAGCAAGGATCAGAGGGCAGCGTCGAATAAGGTGTCATGAAAAAGGAGTAAGGCATAAGAGAGGGGCAGGTCAGCTAGGTCAGAAAGAGCAGCGTTGAGATTGAACAGACTCCAGTCAACCTTTTCAAACCTCCACCGAGATAATGAAAGAGGAGCGCGGAAAGAAAAGGTTACTAGGATAGGAGGTGACTGTAATGGAGGTCATCAAGAACCCTCCATGTCAGGTGTAAATATAGAAGAGGAGCAGAAAGAAAGAAAAAGACATGAAAAGTGTGAGTACAAAAGTCAACATGAGTAGATTTGCCAGAATTCAGGAAAGATAACGGAGATAACAAAAGGTTGAAGAAGGCAACCTCAGGTAGCTGACCGATCATTGCCTCATAGACCATCCCGACCGTTAACATCTGTGGAGAGGAAGGCAGGCGCCGGTAATGAGTCCAACACGGGCAGGCTCCGGTAATGAGTCCAACACGGGCAGGCTCCGGTAATGAGTCCAACACAGGCAGGCTCCGGTAATGAGTCCAACACGGGCATGCCCCGGTAATGAGTCCAACACGGGCATGCCCCGGTAATGAGTCCAACACGGGCAGGCTCCGGTAATGAGTCCAACACGGGCAGGCTCCGGTAATGAGTCCAACACGGGCAGGCTCCGGTAATGAGTCCAACACGGGCAGGCTCCGGTAATGAGTCCAACACGGGCAGGCTCCGGTAATGAGTCCAACACGGGCAGGCTCCGGTAATGAGTCCAACACGGGCAGGCTCCGGTAATGAGTCCAACACGGGCAGGCCCCGGTAATGAGTCCAACACGGGCAGGCTCCGGTAATGAGTCCAACACGGGCATGCCCCGGTAATGAGTCCAACACGGGCATGCCCCGGTAATGAGTCCAACACGGGCATGCCCCGGTAATGAGTCCAACACGGGCATGCCCCGGTAATGAGTCCAACACGGGCATGCCCCGGTAATGAGTCCAACACGTGTTTATGATCAAGAATAAAAAGCTGAATATGTGGGGAAGATAAATGGAAGAGACTGTACCATTTACTCACAAAGATATGGCCAGAAGAGCAAAGACTGTTCGACGGAAAAAGCAGGAGTTGAAAAGAGAAAGGAACAACCACAGAAGTGATCAGGACGAACGCCGAGCATCGGCTCCTGGAGACAGACGCAAAACCGTGAAAACTGTGAGAACAGAAGTTGCAGTTCAGGGAAATTGGCATAAAAATCATTTATATTATATTGAAGAACAGAGACAAGAACAGATAAACTAGGAAAAAGAAAGAGAAAGAAAAACTAAGGCAAAGAACAGTAAATTGGGCAGGATCCGCGAGAAGTTCACTGAAATCTGGGTATTTAGGTAAATCTAGCAAAGATGGTATAGGCGAGAGGGTGGCAGGAAGGGGTATAGGCAAACTGACATGCTCTGGTGTGGAAGGATGAGAAGGCACTGGGGATGAGCGGTCAATCAGCAGCAACCTCTGGATCATGGACACCACCAGGAGTTTCCATCGTGATGTCGGCTGACTCCGTGTCCGAGATGAGAGATGTGCAGACAGAGTCGGAAGTGGAGAGTGGGGGGGGGTTGGATGTTACCTTTTTTACCCACTAAGAAGGACGAAAGAGAGGAACCAGGTTTACGTTTCTGACTGCGAGACACAAGCGTGTCAGTAGCAACATAAGGTACAACAGCCTCTACAGTCTCAGGTAGCGAGGGAGAATGAGAGCGAATGTCTGGAAGAAGGATGGATATTGGCCCAGGATGGACTCTTGTTGGGGAAAGTCTAAGGACAGAAGGAAAGGCTGAGAAGAAAAATGGTGACTAAAGGTGAAGGAGATCACAGTGGATAGAGAAGACGGAGGAGGTCGGGTAGTTACACCAAGACAGAAGGCAGCAGATGACTGGCAAGTAAGGGTGGAGATACCGGTCAGTGAACCACAAGGAACACCCGTAAGTTGAGATCACCGAACAGCAGAAGGCAGCTGGTGGAGGTGTGGGGTTTAAGGCCTGGAAACAATTGCAGGAGAGATAAAGGGAAGAAGGGTGGGGAGAAGTGCCGGTGTGATGTACGAGCACATGTCATGTCGGAGAAAGGGGTAAGATGGCGAACCAGACTTGTTGCGTTGGGAAAAAATATACATTCATTATATTTTAAATCGAGGATGGGTTGTTCAAATTAATGGTGCACGCATGTGTGGGAGAAGACAGGCTGGGCCTCACTGTACTTAATGCAGCAAGCTTGCAGAGAAGAACACTGTCTTAGAATAACAATGGTCTCCACACAAGGAGCAAAGCTATATCTCACTAGTGACCTTCAAGAGACTATGTCCAAATTTCCAACACCTACTGCAGGGGCGAGGAGATGGGATGTACTTCTGAACGGTGTATCTGGCCCCAGCAAGAATTTCAGGAGATGGGAGCATCCTACTATTATAAGTGATATTACGAATATGCAGAGGACAAAGATGATGTCACTCAAATCATTTCAAGGTCGCAAGGTAAGGCAGTCTTTGAGGTCACGACCATCAGGTACAACATGGTGCAGGAGGAACAAGAGTGCCAATGATGGCATCAAGAGGATGTTTTGAGACACTCAAACCAGTCTCACCAAGATAGGACAAAGTAGCCAGGCAAGCGGCCGCCTCCAGAGAGGGGACAACAACTACACGTACCAGTCTAAGTGTGGTTAAAATTAACCTGGCAATCCACTGAGTCACCCAAATGTTTGTGGATATGCAGGCCCAGATATGGGGCCTAATGATCTTGGGGACAAAGATCAAAATACTTAGTCCATGTAGCTGGGCTGAAATAATCCTGGAACATAACAGGTGAAGCAGAGAGGAGGCATGTGTAATTGTGGTGATGGCGTCAAGGACCCCCACAAAGGAGGGGGGATGAACGGAGTTGTTTTTACAATGGAAGGGACCACACCAGGGGACGAGGTAGCCACACCAGGGAACGAGATAACCACTCCAGGGGACGAGGTAGCCACACCAGGGGACGAGGTAGCCACACCAGGAGGCTTGAAAGTCAAACAGCAACAGAAGTGGGATGGGAGCGGGGAGGATCAGTAGGGGTAATCAGAGATAAAGTCCCTGGATGCAGTGTGGCCGGGGCTATGGAACCTGTACTTCCATCATGGTCCAACCAGGCCCCTGATGAACCAGCCCGTCCTCCTAAGGTTTCCCAACGTCAAGAAAACGGTCAAATTAAAGTGCCTTCTCCTAACCTACCAGAGGACCCAAAATATAAAACATGAAGACAGTACGTCACTTTTACGAGCCGCTTCCATTTTGTAGTACGACGATTTTTGGCCTTATGTAATGCATACAATCGAAATGCGACGTTCTTTGTAAGAGGACACGTTGGATGAAAACGGGCCTGGTCGTCTACCCCACAAGTCTTTAATGAGAAAAATGAGGGTCTGAAGCCTGCACAAAACGATCACAAAATATCGTCCACGACGCCCCCACACCCACCATGGAGCCACAATTAAAGGACAGGGAACCCCACAATACAGCGCCATCCCAGGAGTCCATCCTGGATATACAGCCAACAATCGTTACCTTAAGAACCGTCAGTCCATCGAGATTCGGTTCAGCATCGAAGACAGTGTAACATAAAAGCTTCCCCATCGGTCGACCACGTCAGGTACTCTAGGTCTACGGGCTGAAGAGTGACGCCCCAACTCGCCCTCCATCAGAACTGTTCCGAGTTCAAATATTCATTCATTTAACCTTCCGTTCTGATGGAGGGTGAGTTGGGGCGGCACTCTTCAGGTAGACTTGGAGTCCTAAGGTAGCCTCATTCAGAGAGTAGAAATGAAACACGAAGAGAAAATGCATCCAGCAAAATTAGTGAAGATGGCTGCAGGAGCACAAGGCTAAAAAAAGGCATGAAAAGCCATCCTGTCGAACATCACACTCCAACAGCCACCCACTAACACCCCTCACGACGACAACGGCCTGGACATTGAGGGCGATAGTAGCTTTAAGAATTCGTAGGAGTGTGAAGAAAGTCATAGGAGCGTGACAAAATGTATTAGGAACATTGGAAAACGTCGTAGGGCTGTGGAAAATGTCAAAGGCGCATTGCAAAACGTCATAGGAGGTTATCTTAAGATGATTTCGGGGCTTTAGTGTCCCCGTGGCCCGGTCCTCGACCAGGCCTCCACCCTCAGGAAGGAGCCCGTGACAGCTGACTAACACCCAGGTACCTATTTTACTGCTAGGTAACAGGGGCATAGGGTGAAAGCCTCATATAGCCTCAAATTACCCTAAGGAGCATAGGGTAATTTTCTAAGATTCTAAAAACAAAACGTAATAGTGGAGGAAGGAGACATAGAATGTCGCGGGTACTAAGATCATCAACTAACCATTGTCTCTCCCGGCAGGCACGTCAAAATCCCAGCACTGAACGACTCGCAGTACATCGGGATGAGCGTCTACAACGTGGTCATCACGTCCATCATCGTCATCGTCGCCGCCAACATTATCGGGGAGAGAACGACCCTCGCCTACGTCATCATCACCACCCTCATCTTCACCTCCACCACCACCACGCTCTGCCTCCTCTTTATTCCCAAGGTCAGACCTCATCACCACCCAACCACTTTGATTACACCTGATGCCTCTGTTCGCCTTGCAGTAAATAGGTACCCGGGAGTTGGATGGCATTTGCGGGAAGGTCAGTTGTTGGCCAAAGGCTGGTTTGCTTGTACCGCCTTGGGTGGTACAGTTACTGTACCACCCAAGGCGGTCACTCCAGAAAGTGCCGTAAGTTATGGAACATGTGTGTGCTGCCAAGAACAACATTCAATATACCACTGCTCCAATTATCCTGATGGTGACGTATGTGTAAAGCGACTCAGAAAGTTGCAAAACTGCACGAGGTGCCTCAGAAAACACAACACCAACACCTGTGAGACCCAATTACACACCTGTAATAGGTGCAACAAGGGTCAGCATCAAGCAGCATTGTGCAGGGACACCTAAATAAATTCTCCAAACCCAAAGCTGGAAGATAACATGAATAAATCCACAAGAGCTGTGATGAGGGTTCGAACTTATGTCCAGGATGACCCCAGATGCGCCTTAATCGACTGAGCCACGACATGGTTAAAAGAATTGCAACCCACAGTCTCTCCAAGACACAAACCGGGGTTTTACACAATTCCCCCATGCACCTGGGTTCTATCAACAAGCTGTTCTACCTCTTCGCCCGTACTTCAATACATAGAAATCACACTAGCGTGATTTATCAAATGAATAAATCCATAAGGGCCGTGATATTGTGTAAAACCCTGGTTTGTGTCTCGGAGAGGCTGCAGGATCCGTATGAAAGCAGTAGCAATCCCGGTTGCAATTCTTATACCATGTCGTGGCGCAGTCGATTAAGGCGCGTCTGGGATCATCCTGGACGTAAGTTCGAACCCTCTTCCCGGTCCTTGTGGACTTATTCATTTGATATATCACGCTAGTGTGATTTCTGTGTGTATTCCTACTACCGTACAGTATTGCAAGGTGCGACAGAATATCAGTGTGCTATCGACAAAGTTAAGAAATAATGCAACTTTGCCTACTGCCCAACTTACCATCAAAACTAAGAGGACCAGGGTCAAAACCCGAGGGTTGCTTGACTAAGGGTCCCAGAGAACATTTAATACATAATTCTCACCCAAAAGGTGGTAGATAATCTACAATTAAGCCTGTAACTTGGTGAAATTCAATATAACCCGGGGTTCCTGGCTGATACAGGACCTCAAGTCAACCAGGTGGTGCAACCATTAGAACGTTTAGGCGGCTATGTCCGTCAAGTACCACCCATCATGGTGGATTCAATTCCAACAGACCTAAGAGCCACTACCAAAATTCCTGAGAAATAGGGAAATAAAAACTGGCAGATACAATTAAGTCTGATCACCTCATCGACACAGGAATGCTTGTAGGTGCAGACTACAACAAATTCATCATTAGTCAAACTAAAAATTAGAGGATAAACCTGTTAAATTCTGCAGGAGGCAAGTTACACAGGCCCAGTATTAAGCCTGAAAAAGCCTATCCCAGCAAACAAACAATTCAAATATAAATTTTAATGTGTCAGCTGACTATAAAACTCCAATACAAACATAGTAGGAGAATACAGCTGACTATATCAACAGAGGGTGATTTTGTGATCATCGTATAAAGCTGAAGATGAGCTCATGAAGCCTCTGTGACAAATCAGTGACCGGGAGCCTAACCAACTACAAGTCACTGCAACCAATGTCACTGATGCCACTGCTGTCTCAGAGCCGTCACTGACTTTAAAGATTGAGCACATTCAATCCTTTGAATCAAATACACCAAAATAAATTACTAATTTTATCAGCAAAAATAAACTCCAGCAAATAAGAACAATGGAGCAAAGCTGACTATATAAATCCGACGACTGATGTTGATACAATTATTATTAGCAGAGATGCCTAACCAGATGAGATGCCAGAGATGCCCTGGGCCTCGGTGGCTATTCAGTGACCAGTTGCCTGAACAAGTCACAAGTCACTGCGACCAATGTCACTGATCCCACTGCAGTCCCAGAATCATATTTGACTGTAGTAATTGATCACACTCAGTCCTCTGGGTTAAAAAAAATAATTAATCTAGAAATTTAGCATTGAAAGAGTTAGCAGGAAAATTAAATCGCCTAGAGACTTCCCAGCCCTGCAACTCTAGTATGGGACATCCGTCCTGTACAAACTGATGCAAAAATGTGCAACTACTAATATCAAATGAATCTAACAATTCTGAGTAGTAGTATCAGTGCTCGCCAGTTCTAAATAGTGGACTCTGGCTAAAGGAATCATGGAAAGGAGTAAAGGAATCATCGAAAGGTAAAGGAATCTGTCGGAAAAAATCGACACAATTTACTAACTTTCAATACAATAAGCAGATAATATTGCTGCTGATTTTGTGATAAATTAACACCAAACTATTTTCTTTAACCATGCAAAGAACTTTAGAATTGTGGAATTTTCCCCGAGAAAAAACGGGATATTGTTGTCCCGTCACCAGAATATTCTTCATTAAATATTAATTTATCAGTTAAAACACCAGTCTAGGGATTAAAATTTATAAAAAAAAGTATTTTTTATAACTGGATCTAATAAAATAAAAAATAAAATCAACATCTTCCTCACTTTGTCTATAAATGGACAGAAAATTTAACCGATTTCTAGTGGCGTCACTTGATCGGGGAAGGAGAGAGCGCCATTGTGAATTGAGAAAACCGTCCGTGGACACCCAACATGCAGTGTTGTCAGTACTCCCAAACCCTGAGTCATGGTGTCGTCAATGTGTTACAGCGACCTCACCAATTACAGGGAGTACCTTGTTTCCGGTTTGAATTAATTTTCTGTATTAGAAGACCTGATAATAATAATACTTAATTTCAACCCGGTTATGACGCGGGCGACCACCCACAAATGGGTAAGCCTCTCCTAATAATTTAATTATAATCAGTGTCACACTATGTCTGTTATTAGCATGTTATTGCATTTGTTATGGCGTATAATTCCAGCAGGTAACCTTTGACGACCCGAAGAAATTAGCAGTACAACCTGGTACAACACGTGATACGTGATGATGCTATAGCCTGGTACAACACGTGATGATGCTATAGCCTGGTACAACACGTGATGATGCTATATCCTGGTACAACACGTGATGATGCTATAGCCTGGTACAACACGTGATGATGCTATAGCCTGGTACAACACGTGATGATGCTATAGCCTGGTACAACACGTGATGATGCTATAGCCTGGTACAACACGTGATGATGCTATATCCTGGTACAACACGTGATGATGCTATAGCCTGGTACAACACGTGATGATGCTATAGCCTGGTACAACACGTGATGATGCTATATCCTGGTACAACACGTGATGATGCTATAGCCTGGTACAACAGGTGATGATGCTATAGCCTGGTACAACACGTGATGATGCTATAGCCTGGTACAACACGTGATGATGCTATAGCCTGGTACAACACGTGATGATGCTATAGCCTGGTACAACACGTGATGATGCTATAGCCTGGTACAACACGTGATGATGCTATAGCCTGGTACAACACGTGATGATGCTATAGCCTGGTACAACACGTGATGATGCTATAGCCTGGTACAACACGTGATGATGCTATAGCCTGGTACAACACGTGATTAAGCTATAGCCTGGTACAACACATGATGCTATAGCCTGGTACAACACGTGATGATGCTATAGCCTGGTACAACACGTGATTAAGCTATAGCCTGGTACAACACATGATGCTATAGCCTGGTACAACACGTGTTGATGCTATAGCCTGGTACAACACGTGATGATATAGCCTGGTACAACACGTGATGCTATAGCCTGGTACAACACGTGATGATGCTATAGCCTGGTACAACACGTGATGATGCTATAGCCTGGTACAACACGTGATGATGCTATAGCCTGGTACAACACGTGTTGATGCTATAGCCTGGTACAACACGTGATGATGCTATAGCCTGGTACAACACATGATGCTATAGCCTGGTACAACACATGATGCTATAGCCTGGTACAACACATGATGCTATAGCCTGGTACAACACATGATGCTATAGCCTGGTACAACACATGATGCTATAGCCTGGTACAACACGTGATGATGCTATAGCCTGGTACAACACGTGATGATGCTATAGCCTGGTACAACACGTGATGATGCTATAGCCTGGTACAACACGTGATGATGCTATATCCTGGTACAACACGTGATGATGCTATAGCCTGGTACAACACGTGATGATGCTATAGCCTGGTACAACACGTGATGATGCTATATCCTGGTACAACACGTGATGATGCTATAGCCTGGTACAACAGGTGATGATGCTATAGCCTGGTACAACACGTGATGATGCTATAGCCTGGTACAACACGTGATGATGCTATAGCCTGGTACAACACGTGATGATGCTATAGCCTGGTACAACACGTGATGATGCTATAGCCTGGTACAACACGTGATGATGCTATAGCCTGGTACAACACGTGATGATGCTATAGCCTGGTACAACACGTGATGATGCTATAGCCTGGTACAACACGTGATGATGCTATAGCCTGGTACAACACGTGATTAAGCTATAGCCTGGTACAACACATGATGCTATAGCCTGGTACAACACGTGATGATGCTATAGCCTGGTACAACACGTGATTAAGCTATAGCCTGGTACAACACATGATGCTATAGCCTGGTACAACACGTGTTGATGCTATAGCCTGGTACAACACGTGATGATATAGCCTGGTACAACACGTGATGCTATAGCCTGGTACAACACGTGATGATGCTATAGCCTGGTACAACACGTGATGATGCTATAGCCTGGTACAACACGTGAAGCTATAGCCTGGTACAACACATGATGCTATAGCCTGGTACAACACATGATGCTATAGCCTGGTACAACACATGATGCTATAGCCTGGTACAACACGTGATGAAGCTATAGCCTGGTACAACACATGATGCTATAGCCTGGTACAACACATGATGCT